TTGGATCATCAGTTTGGAGTGGTGAAGAATCTCATACTATGAAACAGCTGTCAAGCAATTTCGAAAAGTTATCTAGGTTCCGTGTGTAGCAAAGCTGTAATCATGAATTCTAAGGACCGTTTATTTCAGACACTTAATGAGATTCCTACTTTCAGACCCATAAGACCAGTGACTTTTCGGATTTAAGTTCAATGTCCCATTATTATTATCGCTATCATTTCAGCTTGTGTCTGTTCTGAAGAGTGGAACTTTTGATCGTATACATACATCTTCCGTTCATATTAGGTATATATAGGGGTCCTACTCAATAACAAGATGGTCATTGGATAATAACCAGTAGGTGCTACCTATCCCCCCATATGAGGGCAACCTTTAGTTCCTTTACTTAGAGGAAGACCAAATCGAGGAAACCTATGCTTTCCAAACTGAAACTATTGATTTTCCGAGCTGCAGGCTTTGTTATCGATCTCGTACATGAAACTTTAGTAAACAAAACGACCAAGCTTTATCTCTTCAGTATATTTCACCGGATGCTTAATTTCTGAATAATTCAAGGTTCATCTAACTTTTGTGAACTTGACTTCATAGGCAGTTTTTTAAGTATTTGTACCACATAACATCGATGTAAGATGAAAGAATTAAACGCTACATGATGAAGACAGAGACCTAGTGTAGTATTTCTTCTCAAAACGCGCTCAGAAAAATCCAGGTTTCCAGTTTATAGACTTGATAGTTGTTGACGGTACCAAATAACTTTGTTGAAGTTACACATAGGGTCATGAGGTGTACAATTTGAGTCATGACTTCCCTGTACTCAGCTTAGTTCATTTATTCTCAACAAGGATCCTTTGAGGAAATGCTAGGAATACCTCGATGTAGACCCACATGCGTGGTGAAGATGGTAGCGTTGACATGGAGAAATTCAGTACTAATTGAATTTTAGATATTCTGGAACCCAGTAAAGAAACGTATGACTATGATTTACCAGTTCTCAACTTTTAGTGACGTTTTACGAATTTACTGACTACAAATGATCAGCGTGATGTTTTAGAACAAATTATCAGTCTTAAACCGCAAAAAAACATGGCAGAGTATTCCCAAGCAATTAAGTGCATCTTAAGCAAGTTCAATTGAAGATTTCTGCCAAAAGATGCCGAATTCATGGTTATGTTTGTGTAAATTTAGGATTATCACTACAGTTTACTGTTTATACACAAAAACTAAATCTCACAGAAAATAATAATTAGTTTAGCATTGTAGCTACTGTGAATGGAGTGTGAGATTATAACAAGAAACACATTTATGCCTAGAAACAGTATCCCACAAAAACATTAAGATATTTAAAGATTTCGACTAAATGAACAGATGTAGTTTCATTAGTGCCAGCTGAGACAGCGGTTAGCTTGTTTACGGATTGAAATCAGAAACATGAGACAGAAGTGCGAATTTATTACTATTGTGGTGTGTGCTACTTATGTCGACATAAATAGTATATAACGCTGGTCAGAAATAAAATATCTGACAGCAGAAGGTCGAACAGGAAAGAACGGGGACAGAAAGCAATTGGTATGGAAATGTAGGAACAATGAAGTCTGAGACAATTAGTAAATATTTTGCAAATGAAGTATATACTGCATGGTTCTCAGATTTTACTAAGACGTTCTGTAATTTTGTGTTCAAATACATTCGATTGTCCCCTCTTTTGTTCTCGTTCACTACACTATCACTCAACATAACTACGCCAAACGCGATCTACACGGTCTACAAATATTTCGCTCGAGTTATGATAACTACATACAAACTGATTACTTCAACGTTCCTTTTAAAGTCTGCAAACTTATGTTCAAATATTCCTTTTGACAAACGAATGGTTTTAGAGTTTGCATACACTATACCCTTAAGTTCATCTATGATTCTAACACGAGAAACCAGAATCCCTTTTCAGTCATACCTTTCATTAACCAATCTCTATCAGATTATTAGTAAGGGTTTATGATTTGTCGTTATTGATATTAAAGATCACAACTGACCCCTCTCTGTTGCGATACGTGCGCTCTCAATGAATTGTTTCGTTGATCAGAAGTTTTCACTATATTTGATATAAAGTGAGTTATTTTATTGAATGAAATTTATCGAAGGATGGATCAAACACGTCTTTTTATGAATAAAAAAATAGAATCACAGAGAACGAACCTGTAGTCGTAGTAAAGTATTAATTATGTGAATTATATGTCGACTTCAGAATCACGTTTACTCACATAAGTGCTAAAAATGAACCAATATCAAGTAAAAAATACGGTGAGACTATAATTTATGGACGACCTTTGAGCGACGCTAAATTGACCTTGAGAGTGTCTACCTACTTACTAGGGCTAAATGAGGGTTATAAAGCATTTTGAAGGATAAGCATCATGATTCACAGTTGATGGTTAGGGCTAGTAATTAGATTTACGGTTTTTCATCACGATCTGACATTAGCTAAAATGCCGAGACGTTATCTGGCCAGATGAGTGGGTGAATTTCGCGCCAAAATCCGAGACCTGTTATCCTAAATCTGATTGGTTCGTCCATAAATTATAGTATTGCCAAAAATACAAAATATGTTGCATTCGTGATAAGAAAGACAATTGGATAGAATTGGGGCCCGTGTGACCGGTTCATTATTATAGTAGGTGTTATATTTTTTTGGGTTCAATTACCGATTAGTTCGCTTATATTGCCAGGAGATCCGGTGACATTCTATTCACCAATAGCAGCGACCAACGAACAACTACCGGGACCTTAACATTCGTTGGTACTGGAGCTGCTTCCAACACGGTGTTTAATCAAAAGAAAAGGAGAACAAATTAATTCTATCGTGCCCTATTCAAGCATGACCCTAAACTCATACAACAATATACTTGGAATACCTGACTGTATACCGACACAAGAAATCATATTGTATATATATATATATATATATATATATATATATATATATATATATATATATATATATATATATATATATATATATATTGTATAAATTAGTGAAATAAGACCGTAGTAATGGAGAAATAATTAATTGACGAAAAATTCGAAATACATGACGAGGGCTTAGAAATAGGCAAATACAAAAATCCGAGAGCTCACTAATTGTACAATACAAATATAGACCATAATCGTACGTCAGTCATGGAAGTGTAAACTTCCACAAATTCTAATCGACATGACATTTCGATACGTAAGCAAAACAAGATATGTATTCAAACTATAAGTGGAAAACTGAAATACCACTTTGTAGAACTGGTTACATAGTCCAATTCACCAAAACAATCAAGTTTTTGTGCTCCATTCACTTAGATATGTTATAGAGGTTACTGAAGCAATATTTATAAAATTGGATCACAGCTGTTTATGGATTCAGAACTTAAACATATTTTTATAATTTCAATGGTTAAGATCATGAGTCAGTTGAAGCTAGACCACCATGGAAAACCTGGAAGCACTGTTGTTCAAAATGATTCAATCTAAAGTTAGGTTTTCTGATAATTTAAACTTTTCAAGAAGTTTAAACAAGAAAATGAAGCTAAACCATCAAATGAGAGCAAACAACATAAACGCAATATGACTCACCGTAACGGAGTAATGAAATTACATATGAGAAACTTAACGCAAGTGCATCGAATTGTTTGGTTACCGATTAGAAAAAGACAACCACAAATAATGACACGTTATAAAGAATAAATGTAAATCTGATGGAACTTGAAATTAAGTGACCTAAAACGATATACACTTTTGTTTGGAAATTCGATTCAAGAAAACAGTAGTTGTGTATTATTATTACTATTTAGAACAGCTAAAATAAATCCTAATATTGCACAGACTAGACTTGAGGACTAGTTTTTGTAATTCGCATCACAACATTAAAACTACCTACACTGCCAGTAACATTGGGAAATCCATGATCTATTATGCAGAATCCAATAGTGAATCATTATCTATTGAAATTCTCTGATGCATCAAGTGAATCCCATTTGATCATATAGAAGGTTATGTTAACAAACACTTGGTGGTACTACCTGTCATGACAGGTGGTATCCAAAATCTGATACTGATACACGACGTGATATACGCTAACCCCCCCAACTGACTACTTTGAGCACAAATACTCATTATATATATAACTCTACCCCTTAGGAAATTAATTTCTTAGCCAATGATATACACTTGTCCTTCAGGTCACTTCTGATTGCCATCGACTGACCTCATTTTGCTACTTCTGATTGGCTTACCATATCACTACCCGATTGGGAAGCGCAATAAACACATGCTTTATAAAAAACCGAGCATTCAGTCTAAAATGTTTACTGAAACAAGCAGCATAAACAAAGTGAATAGAAACTGGCATTTAATTTAGTGTGAAATGAGCACAATCTGAACTTTTGTGGTCAAAGATACAATTTCCTGATGAGCCTTAGCTAACAGACAATCCAAACATAAGCTTTCCTTCCAACTAATTCCAACGTTTTAGTATGACAAATGTACTATAAGCTGTATGTACAAACAGTTAAAACAAATCTAAAACGGTGACCGTTATTGCAAATTTTCACAGTTGCAAAGTAGGTAATTCAGAAGTTTGAACAAGTCTTCTCTAGTTGAATAATTGTGATCATACACATTAGTCGTTGATGATGAATTGTTATACTACAATGATGAATATTGGGCAGACAGTTTTAGCTAAAGACAAAATTAGTAGTTTTCATGAATAGTTAGGTGTTATGATAACCTAATACATAATGGGTTATCGGAATGACTAATTTGATTGAACTGATAATTCGCTTAAGAAACTGATTGAGGAAATACCAAAAAGTAGACAGTATCATTGACCAACATACTGAACACATGAGAAGATATTAGAAAAGAAGATTTCCCGTCAATATAACAGAACTGTGTTTCTTGTCGGATGCGAAATGATAAAATAAGAATTAGTTTAAAACAACTAATGATTCTTTTGCCCACTGTAACCATGAATGGGCCCCTTTAAAAAGGAACCATTTAAATTACAATTTTTATTGCATGAGTAACAAGTTTTCGCCAACCAATTTACGTCATTACTGTTTGATTGACTTCACATATCGTCTCACAGCTTCTTCCTGTTCATCGTCAATTGATTTTGGCCTAAGTCGACGCAATTCCATAATGGCTTGATTGGCATCAAGATTGTTTTTGTAGGCAAGATAGCACGCTAAAATTGTTCCCGCACGACCTCTACCCAGTTGACAATGAACTCCAACTTTCTAAAAGATAACCAAGCATTTCCAGAGAACGATTGTATGAAAATGATAATTAGGTTAGCACAAGTCATAATCAACACTGCAAAGCCACTAACAAATAACTGAAATCAAAAGTTCTATGATCACTTACAAGCTACTGATTACTAGGATTCGTAATTACTTTAAAAAAATTGGACCTGTTACCAGATTCTCATAATCAGAATAATCAATAACTACTAACCACTAACACACTCAAAGTAGAACCCGAATGCAGTCTAGGATACAAAAATAGAAAAATCTACCGTTCTATAACTTACTTATTTGGGGAAGCTACCTTCTCTGAGAAAGCCCATCAACCAGGAATCTGAAACCAAATTTGTCCTGAACTCTCCTTTCTAGTTATTGCTGAAAGCTCAATGCGAGTACACTTAACCGACACTGCATGGTTTTACCATCCAATGATACGACTTCAAAATAAGATCTTATAGATTGGGGAGTCACATCACGTAAAGTTCACAATATAGGACTAGGATTATTATTCTAGTAGCATAGATAAGTGCACTGAAACCGACCTAAACTTGAATCTTACAAACCATCCGACCTCAGTGCAGGGTAGACCCTAACTTGGAATGGCCAAGACAAAAGAGGAGACATACCAAACAACACATGGTGATGTGAATAAGAGGCAAACATCAAGACGATGAATAGCACTCGGTAATAACAAGAAAGGAAAGCTCAGGACAGATTTGATTTCAGATTCCTGGCTGGTGGGCTATGTTCCAGAGAAAGTGTATGACGAGCAGTATGTTGATTCCCGACTAAGCTTTCATCCCATGAAGTAAATATTTGGTAGGTTAAGTATACATTACAATGCCGTCTAGCCTACAAGTCAGATATTATCTGAAATTAATTAAATGGGCACTCAGAATGGTGCAAACAAACCCGTAAGCTAAAGTTAGGCTTCATTCAATAATTAAGTAGTGAGAATAGTGAATAGATGCACTTATAAACTAGTAAATAAGTTTACTTTAATGGGTTACTGACATCAGAGTTTTACAAGGCATAAAATAATGAGTAAACGTTGAAATTCAGATAGTGCGGTGAGAAGACGAAGGTGCGCCCAAATGCTCTGGTACCAATGAGAGTGGGGAGTCAGCTCTCCCTCGCGAAACGCTCTCACATGGCCACGTACATACAGTCACTGCCAGGGAAGTCTTACTCATTGCCTTCTCGTGGAAGTAGTGTTGTTTACAAAATTGAGAGGACAAAAAGCGAATGTTCAGTGCTTTAACCGAGTTGGTGGATACGGAGAGCTCACCTAAGGTAGTTGGAAAACCCTGATTCCAAACCAATGGTGCACATGGGCTCCAGAATCCTGAAGAAACAAATGGCGTATGAACCTATTGTTGCTCACCGGCTACCATGGGACTGCATCTCCTAATGTTGCTCCACTGCCTTGTGGATCAGACCTTTAGGTCGAACGCTCCGGGTGTGGCCCCCTAAAAAAACCCTGCTTTGGTCGGGGCACCCGGACAGTATCACAACCCACACACAAAATGAAAATGAAATGACGGTAATCACTGAAGAAAATTTTCTCGCCTCGATTAAAAGTTAGACAATTCACGTTCTTTTCTGTTTTTTTTTGTATACTATATCACTTATCTACTCTCTTTTTATTCCCACTATGTATCTTATTTTTCAACTTATACAAACACTCGCCTATGGTGAAAACTGTTCTATCTAAACGATCTCGAGCCAATGACTGATCGAAATTTGAATGCTATCACCAAATACGAATACTGAAACATTCTTTTAGAAACCATGTATACGATTCAAACTGGCTTCCCTCAACATTCGCACACTAATGGAGATCGGACAACAGATAAGGTTGGCTATGTCTCTAAAAAGTCTTAATATCGACGTCTGTTGTCAATCCGAGACCCGTATTTAAGACTCGAGTGAAGTACTACAAATTCGCTCTACATCTGTCACTTCAAAAAGCTTGTCTCACGTGCGTTTACAGGGGAACTATATGGCATCTTCGTCTGGTTTTGGTGTTGATGTCGAAATAAGCACTAGAGCTGAGACAACACTGATCGACTGGATCGCCATTAACAGTCGGTTATGTGCTGTTAGATTAAAACTTTCTATCAAAATAAGAAATCAGTGTTAGAAATGATGTCTTGTCGTCATCTCCGACTATGCTACGACAGATTGCAACCCGGATGCGATCAAGAATGAGTTTTTCTACTAGCTAACAGTTCTTCTGCAGAGAATGCGTTCAACAGTTATTGTGGTACTAGCCGGAGATTTAAATGTTCAGGTCGGGCGTCTGAGCACAGAAGAGAGTCGTTTAGGTGGCCGATGGGGACTCGTTGGTCGCAGGTCAGATAACGGGGACCGTCTACTGCAACTGTGCACAGACCACAACCTGTTTCTGGCTAGCACTAACTACTAGCACAGTCATCGCCGATATGCCACCTGGCGCCCTACCTCTGCATCTCAAGCCTGGACTCATCGCGATCAGCTACCGCTAACGTGGTTGTGTGCCGACTCTTCGGAGTGGATATCTGGATTCTGATCATCCCCTTGTTTGTGCTAATCTGACTTTACTTTTCAGTGGCCAGCAAATGCATCGTCCTAAACAGATGGATGTTAGTAAATTTGTTGCAGCTTCTGTTGTAACTAAATATCAAACCGAACTAGGTTCAAGGCTAGCTACCATCCCACCAGAAAGTATAGATGGGCATTGGTTGCGATTGCACAACGCTATGAAAATGGCGAGTAAAGTCGCTTGCGGCCTTGCGAAACGTCCCGCTTATAAGCAATGGGTTTCTTCTGGCTCCATACAACTCACTGAAGCCCGTCGGTCTACTCCGAGTGACCGTGAGTTTGACCACAAACGACGACTGTTACGTAATGAAATAGGGTAAGGCTTGAGTAAGGACTGAGAAGCCTGGTGATCGGGACGTGCCAGCTGCATGTGGTAACTGCCAGAATCCCTTTCAACTCATCCGAGTTACTGGCAGCAAGAAGTCTGGTGTGAGCGAAACAATCTGTGAGGATGACAGGATGCCAATCACTAACACCCATCGACGTCTTGGACGATGGGCAGTTTTTCGAGGGGTAGTTAAACTGGTCTGCTGCCCCAGCAACATAGACGAGACTGTCCTGTCCTCCTCCATGGCCCGTGACGACTGGTCCACCAAATGAGACGCAAGTCCTCAAAGAACTCCAACTCTTGAAAAGCTACAAATCACCGGGCCCAGATGACTTACCTCCAGCCCTTTTAAATATGGTGGCGACCTTCTGGTTAAGGAACTAATCGTGTTGTTTACAAAGGTGATGTGTAGGCGAATATGATTGATTTTCTGCTTAGTCAGACATGTAGATAGTCTGACAGGTGTCAGATGAGTTATATATTCCCCTATCTTTATTATCACTTATTATTGATTGTTCACTGTTGATGGATTGTGTCGGTTTTTGGTGTGGAAATATATTTACGTTCTAGTCAGGCTAATCAGGTGTTCTTGATCTGAGTTGTGTTGAAGTCCTGTAGAATAGAAACTGGGAGGGAACCTAGTATGGATATTCGTCTAAGGCAAATTAACATCCCATACGTGTAAAAGTGGAAACCCAACCGTTAAAACATTAAACGAAATAAAACCGAGCGTTATGACATTAGCGACGGTGATTAAAGCGGATCTACGCCTACATATTCAGTTAAAGTGGATTTTGTAACAATAAAACGATGATCTGAAAAATTTATTGGAACGGCTAAATTCTCTTATCGAATTATTTGTCAAAATTATGTCAATATCCCCAAGAGCCAATGTATCTAATTCCACTATTACTCCTGATTCTATTGCGAATTCAATAAATGAATTTAGATTTGATCCAGAATGTAGAATTACTTTTGAGTCATGGTTTAAACGCCATGAGGATTTGTTTATTAATGATTGTAAAGAGTGGGACGAAGGTTCAAAACCTAGATTACTATTACGGAAGCTCGGAGTGTCTTAACATGAGAAGTTCTGTAATTTCATCCTCCCAAAGAAGCTAACGGACATAAACTTCAGAGAAACAGTAGTGTCTGACACGTACATTTGGTGAACGATCATCAGTTTTTCACACTATATACCAGTGTCTCCAGCTTGTAAAAAACCACAGGACGATTATATGACGTATGCAAGCATCGTGAACCGGGAATGTGAGCGGTTCCGTTTACAGGAAATGTCCTCAGATAAGTTTAAATGCCTTATTTTTGTCTGTGGGTTACAATCCGCAGTAGATGCATATATTATAACACGGATTTTAGAGAGAATCGAACAAGATTCTAATATTAGTCTGCAATCAGTATCTGAAGAATGTCAAAGAATGGTTAATTTGAAGCATGACACAAATTTAGTAGAAAGGAACAGTGAACACGTGGAAGTTAGAACTTTAAGGAATGTTTTTAATGGAAATAAGGATCCAGACTCCCAGTGAATCCCAAATCAAATGAAACCCGAAACGTGTTGTTGGTGATACGGTAAGCGTCATTCTGCTAATGTTTGCTACTTAAAAAAAGTTTGTTTCCTTTGTGGTAAATATGGTCAGCCCAAAGTATGTTGTAAAAGTGGGAAAAAGATTGCTGACCATCAGCATAAGTTTCGTAAAGGAAATAAGACGCAAACGTAAAAAGAGATACCACATAATTCGAATGTTGTTCTGGCTATAAAAGGTGCTAAATTTTCATCTAAAAGAAAGTACGTAACTATCTGTTTTTTAATGGTAAACCGGTTAAGCTCCAAATAGATACGGGGTCTGACAAAACATTAATTTCTAGAGAGACTTGGATAAAACTTCGTCGACCTCAATATCAACCTACACATTATAATTCTAAGAGTGCGACGAGAACTAACATTACTCTTCTCGAAGAAATTCAGCTACCTCTTACACTAAGTGACAAGACTATATCCGGGAAATGTTATGTAGCTGGAAACTGTCATACCAACTTATTAAGTATTGAATAGATGGATGAATTTGGCTTATGGGACCTGTCACTGAGCACTGTCCGCAATATGATTGAATAGCCAGCCGAAACAATATTTGGCCGAACATTTTTTAATGTTTTGAACCCGATGACAGAACGAAAGAACTACCAAAAAATTAGAAAGAGGATTGCCCGAAGATTCGAGAATTTAAAGCAGGTGACTTAGTCTATGCATGTGATTTCCGGCCTGGCAAGCCGGTCGTAAGGTTGATATCAAGTCAGCCTTTGTAGTGTTATACAAGTGTTCAAGTACGTATACTAAGGTTTATTGAATCATTGGCTATGCAAAAACTGAAACCGTTTTACGTGTTCAAAAACAATTTGTTCTTACTCTTAACCCGCCCCGGTGATACTGATTCTTTGTCTAGACTGGTTTTCACATCGCTTACTTTATTATTAACTTTGCTTCCTTTTACCTTCTAATTATTATGATTGACCTTTTTTTATACATAATCTCTTAATAAGTAAACGTGTGGTCAAATCGTTCGAGATGCATTGCGCAAATATATCACATAATCCTGATAACCTTCGTTTTCTCATCACACTATTCAAACTTATCAGAGGAGCTAATTATTTTAATAGTATAAAGCAAAATATTTATTGGACTATAAACCGACTTTATATCATAATAAAGACTTCTCTTCAAATGTAAATTAGAGCTTACTTCATTATTTGTTTCAGCTCGTTTGATAATTTCCATTGCTTTCTGAATAACAGGCAAGCTTGCAGAGGTTAAATCTTCGACGGGTAAGTGATAATGTTTAACCGCTAAGAATGAAAATTGGACAAATAGTATGTTTCTAAAGAAAATCTAAATTATAATGATGAAATATCTCTAAATCTAGTACATTTACACACGAAGACGTAATTCTTTAACTATATTTTGACAAGATTACATAATGAAGTACGGGATTATCAACAACAAAAAAATCATGTTTTCATTTTTGTACTCCAACTAAAAGTATTTGAACCAGCTTGCGAATTTAATTTCAGAAAATTGCAAAATTCCTGATGAACACTTGATATTAGGGACCATAGCTTGAGAAATTGTCATAAAAACCAGAAAATGAGGATCATAATATTTCACTTGGGTATTTCATAAACCAGTTCTTATTATAAGTGCTGCTATTTTGACGTAGTGGTCTCATCCGCCAGTTCTGATGACGCAATCAAGCTATAAGGAGGTAGTAAGATGTTTTCCAAGGATAACTAACATCTCCAAAATCCTGTCCTTAGGCAGATTTTCGGTGTCAGTAGTAGTTTTACTGTGATACATAATTCGACGAGCAGCAAAAACTTGAAAGGATAAGGATAGACTCTGCATACGTTCCCGTTGATTACAGCTCGAACGAGACCAAAGATGAGTTTTACCGAAACTCAGAGTCCCTTCGATGCGAATTCCCACCGACTGAGAGGTCTAGCATAACCACTACTTACCGTATTGCCTAATGGAGTAGTAAGAAAAAAGATAGGAAGTATTATACCAAGATGTGATATCACTCCGTCAAGTCATTAACTACTGATCTGAAGCACGTTGATCGGTGCACAGTACCAGGTCAATGTTCACGCGATAATCACGATTAGTGGTTGTACACATAAGGCGGTATAGCTCAAAAGTGGTCACAAAAGTGGAGAATCACTCATTTCCTTATCTCCCCTTATGAGTTTCAAAATTACTCTATACTTTAGAACCCCTTATTTCTTCTAAAATGATATTCTCAGTCCTTGATATTTTTACTAATGCATAGTGTCATCATTTAGGTCGCTATAGTATTCATCCTGTCAACTTCATTTCACTGTGCTCGTGTAGTGGGATAACGGCTTCATATACAATTGTGAAGTCCCATGTAATAACTGAATTCCTCTAAAAACTAAAAGCTCAAATATAATAATTGTGGTGGACGGTTTTAACGCCCAAGCGGGTGAGCGAAGCCAAGCGCGAAAATGTTGAGGTACGACCTCCAATATTCAGATCAAGCTAATACGATTGGTTATTCATACCAAGCACAAGGTCGAGGGATGAATGGTCTAATACACAAACTCCTGATGTTAATAGAACCATCATGACATGATTGTAAGTCAAAAGAACTGTCATTTCCACCGTAGCATATATCCAGACTTAGACCAAGCTCTGGCGTTAGCATGAGCTTTCATGAGACTTAGTGGATGTAAGGAAATTTCATCAAGTCTTTACTGAGTTCAGTTCTAAAATGAAAATGTCAAATGTTTGAAGGAAAACTGGATAAGCACTTAGTATACCACAAACGGGATGTTCACTCCGAGATCATTCAGTCAAACGAAAAGTAGAACATGAGGTATTCGTGCATTGCTTTAAGCTGCCACATCACACCGAGATGTCAGAGCAGTAACAATGTTAATTGCAGTAGGAAAGAGTAGGCATATATCTGATTCAGCAAAATATGGTTTCGTAGAGAACAATATGATTAAGAAACTTAGGATCTAATGAAAGACAGCGTGGATGCCCCCACGCCAGTTAGAACGATTATGAGCCATATTATCTGAAACCTCTAGCCACTAGCTACGACAATCACGTGGACCACAAACAGATATTCCACACAACTCAGTCCAACAGTCAATGGTCTTATGAACTGACACGACGTCTTGGTTCAGTCACCCCTATGTATGTTCCAACTAACTCTTACGCCAATAAACAACGTGCGTTAAGGTAGACAGTGGTTGGGCGTACATATTACATGTCCTAACTACCTCAGTTGATGAAGATTCACTACTTCATCAAGTGACATTTTATCCTTGCTTAGCACCTTGCGATTACCATCAAAATTGTCTACTCGGTGCTCCTAAAATATACGAACAATGCTTCAAAGTTATCTTATGGACATAACAAAGTAAAACAGAAATGATTAACTGTATACTCGTCTTTTGGTTGGTAGACGGATATTTAGCCTTCACCACAAGCGACGCATGTTGACGAAACTAAAACAGCAGCAAAAGGTCAAGGAAGACCAATCGACTTTTGGAGGTTCTGCTAGTATATGCTTAGAAACTTATCAGTGGGTCCATTACCAATGAGGGAGCAAAGAAGATTGAAATATAAACGAACAAAGACTACGCGGTAATCGAGGGATGGTGGGTAACAAAAAAAATAATGGGAACAGTAGTGGTGATGGGTAACATGAAGGAATTGTTCAGGAACATAAGGGATAAAAAGTCAGTTTTTAGCGAAATTATCTCTCGGAGAGATGGACTACTTTCGAATCGAGCAACCAGAATTATGAGCGAAAAAACACTGCAACAGTTTAACTGCTAACAAGATACAGTCTAACTACCCAGTACTCACTAACAGTCTGAACAGTAGAGCATTATCGATCTCACACAAATCGAGAAGACAACGACTCGAAGTGAAATATAACAGCCCCGACCGAAGCTGCTACCTTGACGCGGTGGTCGGGCTTGTCTATCGTGATGACCCAACCGAGCTATATTGGCTGGAACATATGTTTCTGTATGTTCTACCATGCCAGGCAGGTCGAATGGAGAACGGTAAGACTAAAAGCAGCAACTAAAGGTCTGAGTGCGAAGACGCACTGCTGACTGTAGAGGGGTGTGATAGCAGTAAGGTGTTTCCCTCGGACAACCAGCATCTGCAGCGATGCTGCCTTCCCACAAGGAGGGGTGAAAAAAGGTCGACCCTAAAAATGTCACACCTCACCTTACCTCACGGACTTCCGTCTCGGGCGGTAAGGCCTTTTGAAGAACGGAGCTAACACGTCAAATACCAGCCGTGCGCGACCGGCCTTAAGCAGTTGTCCCTCGGGCTCTACGGTCACGCTCCCAGGTCGTTAAGGAAAACATTATTTCCAACTTCCTTTTCAGGTTCCTCAAAAAATACCCTTCCACGGTGTGGGCAGCCGGGAAGTGACATCAGCCCTCATACCCGTAACAACACACGAGACCAAGTCGGTCACATTCAAATCCTTCCTACACCTAATACCTCTCTTATCTCCATGACTAACCCTCCCCACGTCTCTTTATCACCTCGCACCGCTAGGGCAAACGATTCGAGTACGCGGAACGTTATTCCTGGTCTCCTTAAACCACGCTCTAAACTACATGTAGGAGCTTTTAACATCCGAACACTGTGCCAAATAGGACAACAGGCTTCCTTAGCTAAGATTTCAGAATCCCTCGCCATCGACGTGTGCTGCGTCTCCAAAACTCGCACACAGGACCCGAGTAGCGTCATTCATTTGACATCACCATATCAAAACAAAGAACCAACTCGATTCACACTCCGTGTATCTGGAAGCCCTGATGCTGCTTCTCATGGCCTCGCCGGCGTAGGTATAGCATTGAGTCCTAGGGCAGAACAAGCTCTCTTAGAGTGGATCCCAGTAGACAGTCGTTTGTGCGCTGTCCGACTACACGGAACAGTAAGGATCCGAAAAAATAGGGACACTCGTCGTTGCCTCTTCGTCGTCTCTGCCTATTCTCCTACTGAGTCAGTCAGTAACAACGTATAACTTCGTACGTACGTACATCAGTTCGAGGTGCCACACCACATTAGCACAGAGATGCCGTGGTCGATTCAAATCCCGTTGTGGTAGAGGTAATAAGAGTATAAGCAGTAATTGGAAAGATTAGTATTTGGAGATGTTACTTAAAGAGTATAATACAGTGAAATAAACTTGGGAAGATGATGTAAAAGATGAGTTTTACAGAAAGCTCTCCGACCTCCTCCGAAAAGCTAGGCGCTCGGATGTAGTAATAATTGCCGGTGACTTTAATGCCCAAGTAGGTAAACTAAGCGATAAGGAAAGACACCTGGGTGGATCTTATAGCATCGTGGCTCAAAGAACAGATAATGGCGACCGTCTGTTACAGCTATGCTCAGATAACCGCCTCTTTCTTGCAAATACTAACTTTAAGCATAAGGAAAAACATCTTTTAACATGGCGACCCCCTAATTCGTACCAACGTTGGACCCAAATAGATCACATCGCTATCAGCTACCGATGGAGGGGCTCGATAGAAGACTGTCGCTCATTCTGGGGCACATGCCTAGATTCAGATCATGCTCTAGTACGAGCGCGTATCTGTCTGCGTCTTACTGAACGTAGGAAAGACGCTGCAAGGAAACCTCTTAGGGGCCTACTTAATGATAGTCAAGCTAAGAGTATATTTCAGGAACAACTAGGAAAAGTTAGGCAGGCATATATATGATGTCCACCCCGAGGCAGCATGGAATGATATCCGAAAAGCTGTGGAAACAGCAGTGATATCTGCTAGTAAGCTAAACCAGAAGGTTAGGGAGCAACACTGGATCTCAGCAGCATCTATCACACTGATAGATGCTCGGAAACTCATTCCACCTGGCTCTGAACATAATAAAGAGCGGAGTCAGCTCAAGCGCAAGCTGAAAAGAAGTCTACGCAATGATCGTGAACAGTGGTGGGTAGCGAAAGCAAGAGAGATGGAAAAGGTAGCGGCAATAGGTTCTATGGCAGTGTTCGTCACTGAAAGGAGTACCAAAGAAGTACATTAACCTTATAAAGGTTCTCTACTCGAACACAACTGGTCGAGTGAGAGCTTATGGCGAACTGTCATCATAATTGATTACCTCAAGTGGTGTTCGTCAGGGATGTCCACTCTCTCCATTCTTGTTCAACTTTGTCGTTGACGTGCTTTTAGAGATGACACTTTCCTCATCTAAATTTCCAGGGGTTGAACTTCTACCGGGAGACTCACTTGTTGACTTAGAATACGCCGAAGACATAGTTCTATTCGGTGAAGACGCTGACAAAATGCAGTCTTCTGACCACTATAAGTAACAATGCAAGCATGTTCCGCATGCGATTCTCTCCCTCGAAATGCAAAATATTGCTTAGGAATTGGGTTGGATTGACACCCGAACTAATGATAGGGAGTGAACTAATTGAGCGTGTCGATCGCTTCACTTATCTTGGAAGTCTCATCAGCCCTTGTGGTCTGGTGTGTGACGAAATCTCAGCACGGATACAGAAGGCTCGACTAGCTTTTGCGAACTTGCGTCATTTATTGCGTAGGCGAGATATCCGTCTATCAACCAAAGGACGGGTTTACTGTGCAGCAGTTCGTCCCGTCCTACTTTATGGGAGTGAAACATGGCCGGTAAGAGTATAGGATATTCGTAGGTTACTAGTATTCGATCATAGGTGTCTTCGAAACATTGCTCGTATATCATGGGACCATCGAGTAAGTAACACAGTTGTTAGGAAACGGGTACTAGGTAAGGATGGCAAATCAATTGATGAAGTAGTGAAACTTCATCAGTTGAGATGGCTGGGACACGTGTTACGTATGCCAAACGACCGACTGCCTCGACGTGCGATGTTCAGTGGTATGGGAGTAGATTGGCAGAAAGCTAGGGGTGGCCAGATCAAAACATGACATAAACACATGAAGTCACTGACAAGTGGACTGAGCCATGTTGGTAGGTGTAGGCTACCTGGTTGGGGACCGCGAGATGATAGCAACCGATGGTTAGAGACCCTGAACGACATGGCTCAAAATCGTTTGCAATGGCGCAGGTGCATTCACTCTTTGTGCTCTCCCAAATTTTAATCTTCTGAATTCTTCATATCCTTTATTTTCTTTCCAAATTTATTTGACTGGATTATACTCTTTAAATAACATCTCCAAACACTAATTTTCCCGATTACTGCTTATACTCCTACCACCTCTACCACTACGGGAGTTGAATTGACAACTGCATCTCTGCGCTAGTGTGGTGTGGCAACTCGAACTGATGTACGTACGTACGAAGTTTTACGTTGTTACTGACTGACTGAAATATAACAGCTGATTAATTGCTTTCTGAGGTCTATCTTCAGCAGTTAGATTGACTGACAAGTTAGAGAATGGGAACCGGGATATAATTTTTCCCAACGGATTGTAACCAACGATCATGCCGACTTATAAACAAGGATGAAAACCCTAGTGTGACAACCACAGAGCAGTCCATAAGACTGATAATGAACCTAAAACAATATCATTTACTATCATATAACACTTAGCTATTTGAGGTTTGTAAACTTAAAAAAGGTTATTCCTAGACCTAGCACTGACTAAATATTTATCATTTAAGGTTTTAGGACATAGATAATTTTACTAATGTTCAGCTAGTTAAGCTCCTTAACTTTGGCTTTTTGGATTAACAGGTTTTATGGACATATGTATTACTGATAGGTGTAACAAATTATGGAACCGACAAGTGGATAATGCTAAGGATTAAGGATGTATAGTAAACGAGGGGATCAATTGATAAAGATGCGAACCTCAATCATATGCCACCACAGTCTACCGCATTAACCGCTGGCCCAAGAGTAGGCTGAGAAAGTCTAGGGTAATGCAGACCAAGACATGAAATTAATCCATCAGTGACTGACGTAAACTATACCGTTAAGTTTGGATTTCATTATTAGTATTCCAATGATAGGATCAATCCACGGTTGAATTAGGGTATAAAAAAGGTCAAAGAGGTACAGATATATTCATTTTGATTTAAACTAAATCTTCAGATGAAATTAATAACTGTGTTTTGGTTTGAGTAACAGCAACAAGTATGACTGCCTCGAAAGTGGTGTGACTAAAAACCAAGTACACGGGAAGTATGACTGACAAATCTGGATTATCTTCCTTATAACGGTTCAGTGTTATCAGCTGAATACCTCTGAGCTCTTATCACCTAAACCCAGTCATCATATATGGTGCATGGTGTGGAGGTTACTATGATGGCTTCGTGAAACATATTCAGACGGACTGAATTACTATCGCTGACCTCGACCATTGATGACGAAAACAAATTTTCCTAGAAGTGGATATGTCAGTGCAGAGAACAAATGTACATGACTTCTAAATGACACTAATGATTAGTTAGCTGACTTTGTGATATATCTCCTTTAATGTGTTGTTGTACAATGCATAGCACACAAAATGTGTTCAATCAACTTCCTACTTCCTTGATGTCATTTAGGCAACTAGGCGGTATGTTCACAAATATCATCAACCAGTCCCGATGAACTCGACAGAACATAGAGAAAGCCGTCATATTAGCATTATTAACGAAGAGTTTACTTCGAGCTGAAATCTTCAGTTACCTGGCGATTATGGGTACCACAGCACCATGTATGTATAGAAATTAGATTGGTACAATATTTTATTTGTCGCGATAGCCAATGAAATATCGTATAATCTGAATAACTTACACGTGAAATCCGAAATGAACTGGGGAACTTCATGACACAAAGTAATTATATGGCTTATCCCAGCGTTGTCTACTAGATATTCTAGCTCATACTTTTCTCGTGGAAAGGCGAACCCGGCTACAGATTTCGAAACCCAAGAGAAGTTGGACGGTGGACGGGACATGACGTATCGATAAGTCGACACAGAAATGGCAAAAAGGTCAGGCCCGCTTAAAACTGCCCACCGTTTCGTATAAACGACCTTGAACGGTCTGACATCAGTTTCAGTTTCAGTTTGGGAAGGACAGGAGGCCTGATGGCTTGTGTTAGTCTTGGCAATGATGGTCCCTCAGTTGATCCAACTTTCTTTTGAAAGAATCGACGGATGGAGCCTCAACCACGTGCTGAGGTAATGAATTCTAATCGTTGATGATTTGATGGGAAAGTCGATAGTCAGCTGACAAGTAATCTGTTCTGGGCTTGTAAACTTTTTTAGAGTTTTTTCGCAATTCCTCTGTTTTGAAAGACAAGAAAAATGAGGGAATATCAGGTGCGAACTTATCAATAAGCAATTTCAAAACTAACCACTTCACCTCTATTTCTTCTTTATGATTAGGTTTAGCTTGGTCAGTCGAGCATCATACGGGAGCTTTGCTACTCCGGGAATCAGCTTAGTTGCTGTTCTCTGAACCTTTTCCAGAAGCTTACTGGCTTTTTAAGCAGGAGCTAGCCGCATGTATGCAGTACTCAAGTTTAGGACGCACGAACACTGTATACAAAGTCAAAAACACCTTAGTGTCGACATGACTAAAAGCCCTACGTATTGACCAAAACGTTCTAAAACCTTTGGCGGCTATTGTATGGCAGCGTGCAGTAGTCTTTAAGTCATGGCTAACGATGACTCCTAAGTCATTATATGTCTGGACGACAGGTAGCTCAGTGTCATTCATCGTGTATGTATCTGTACCTTGACGACCGATATGCATCACACACTTGGAAGTATCTATCGGCAACTGCCAGGTTTGAGACCATTCAGATAATTTCCTCAGGTCATTTTGTAGTTCTAAGCTGTCACCCTCACATCGTATCGTCCTCCATATCTTGACATCGTCAGCATATAGCAAGACCGATGATGTTAGGAGACGAGGAATGTCATTTACATAGAATAGGAATAGCACTGGCCCCAAAACTGCACCCTGGGGCACTCCACTAAGCACAGTTCCCCAGCTAGATAACTTTGAGTTCACCCGAACTCTTTGTTGACGCCCAACTAAGAAATCTTTTATCCACATAAGTAGATTGCCTCCAATCCCGACATTTCTTAACTTATATGACAGCCGGTTGAGCGGAACCTTGTCAAAAGCTTTGCTGAAATCAATGAAGGCTATGTCTACAGGTAACTTTTGGTCCTTAAGAGCGCACCAGCTTTCACGAGCCACTAGTAAGTTAGTGAGACAAAAGTAACCTATTCTGGAACCGTACTGCTTCTTCGAAAAGATCCGGTTTTTATCGAGATACTTAAACAGCACCTTCTGAATAATCTTTTCCACGATTTTAACAACCACACTAGTTAGGCTAACGAGGCGGTAATTCTCAGGTTTATGTTTCGTACCTGCTTTGAAGACAGGACTTACTATGGCGTTTTTCCAGTCTTTGGGTGAACGATCCTGCGTTACGGATAGGTTAAAGCATATACTTAAAGGGTTCGCAACGAAGTTAGATAATTCCTTCAGTAGCCTAGGATGTAATTCATCGGGCCACGTGGATTTATCTATGTCAAGCTTATTTAGCAGACCAAAGACATCGAGTTCTTTAATGGTCACGCTATCCAGTGTATGTGTGGGGGATCTGTATGCGCTGATGGGAAGAGTGCTTCTATGGTGTATACATTGCTAAAGTAGTTTGAGAATACTTGAGCCTTACCAAATTCGTCCTCCACTAGTGACGCGGCAGTACTGTCTCCACATAGAGCAGGAATATTTCCTCTTCTCTTTGTCCTTTGGTTTATATAAGAATACAAGCGTTTAGGACATTCTATAGATTCCTTAACAATCTTTTCTTCGTACAACTTTCTAGACTTACGGAGGGTCGAGGCACAGGTATTCTGGACTTTTCTAAACTGGGATTTAGTTTCATCAGTCTCCAGTAACCTAAATCTCTCCCACATTTTTTTTCTCTTACGGAGAAGGATGTGGACCTCCCTACTGAACCATGGTGGGGAGTTTCTCGGCCCCCTTGATATAGTCCAAGGGATGTGGGGTGTGGTAACTTTTAAGTATGAATTTCGAAATGCGTCACAGGCCGTTTCAACTGAGGACTCTGGGTCTATTGTCCAATCTACTAACGATACTGAGTGCATGATATCTGGTATGTTCGCTTTCCAGACGTTAGGTCTGAATTGGACTGACGCGTGTTTGTGACTGGAAGTCGAAAATTAAAACTGCGTGATCACTTTTAAATAGAAGTGGCATATAATGAAGGTTCCCAACGTCATCCACATAGTGGGTGAGTATCAGATCTAGTAAGGATGATTTAGTGTCCCGGTCGTAGCTAGTCGCTTCTTTCACATGTTGCACTAAAGCACATGTGACAAACTCATCAACTAGTTCCTGCTCGAAGGAATTTTCTGACGATTCAGTTCGCAGATTTTCCCTGTCTACCATAGGTGCATTAAAGTTCCCTAGATAAGATCATAGAAATAAGTTAAGGTATCTCAGTCTGTCTTCATAAGATAGGCCAGATAGATCTTTTACTATCTTAGTCCCTCGTCGCTTGACTCGTTCCAGCAGATCCACCTCACACTTGAAGCAAGGACTCGCTGCTTGAATACCATATTCCAAATGTGGTCACGCGAAAGTCGAGTATAATAATCTAAATATCTCATCATCCAAATACTGGAAAGACGTACGAATAGACAATAATATCTTATAGCCTTTTGTAGTAAGAGCCTTATAGTGACTGGTAGTTTTGAGACCACTGCTTGTTATGACTCCTAAATCTTTATAGTTTCTTCCTTTGGGTAACACGGATCCATATATCGTGTAGCGATGCGAATCACCATGGTTATTTTATTGCATCACCAGACACTTGTCAGGATTTACTTCTAGTGACCACCAGTCCATCCATGCCACCAATGAGCTGAGATCATCCAGTAATACTATTCTATCTGATATGCTGTGAATGAGTTCGTAATTCTTTTACATAAAGTAAAAAGAAAAGAGACCAGGGACTGTGCTCTGGGGAACTGCATATTTTACAGGTTCCCATAATGAGAGAGCTTCATTTATCCTTACCCTTTGCCTCCTGTCATGGAAAAAGTCACTTATCCAGTTTATGACCGTATGATGGATTTCAGTTTTAATTTAAGGCCAAAATAAAAGACCTTATCGAAGGCTGTACTCAGATTTTTGAAAATCACATCTACAGGAATATTTCTATGTTTTGCCGCAGCTCAATCTTCTCTTGTAAAACGATTTGTCAAATATGACAGGCCTCTCCGAAAACCATCTTGTTCCCTAGATAAACGATTATGCTATCAAAATAATTTTTCCATTAGTTTTACAACTTCACCAGTTACGCTAACGGGTCGATAGTTACTAACGAGATTTCTACTCCCAGCCTTGTACACCAAAGTAGTTATCGCGTCTTTCCAGTCTTTGGACGATCTGGACTGCCATGTAGACATATCAAACAGTATCGCTAAAGGTACAGCAATTACATCTGATAGGGCTTTGATAATCCTGGGATGAATATCATCAGACCCACTGGACTTATCGGGTTCGAGATGCTGAGGTAGTATTGAAACAGCACCTTTCTCCATGACTACAGGGTCCATCAATGAGACTCCACAATCACACTGAATCGTTGGTTGTTCTTCATTACTGATAGAAAACACATTACTGAAATATTTTTATAAAGCTTCAGCCTTTTCGGTATGGTTTCTTGCCGATATTAACGGATTTTCTTGTATCAAAAGTGATGGAATTCCATCGCTTCACTGAGTTCGTCTTTTTATATACGAGAATTACCGCCTTGGACTATATTTACAATCCTTAGCCAGTTGTTTTTCATATGACCGTCTAGTCATACTTCTTAATCTTACAGTAACTGGATTCGTACTGTTCTAAGCCAGTAGAAATGAACATATTTCAGTGCCTTTTTTCATATGTCTAAGAAGTCTCTTGACTTGTTTAGTTCTTCATAGTGGACTGTTATTTGGTCTATTTGGTACGTAACTGTACTAAACTTGCATTTAAATATAGACCATACTCCTTTAACTGATGAGCTAGTATCCATTGACCAATCTGTCTTAGCAACGCACTCCTGAATGGCTGATATGTTAGCCCTCCATACATTTGGGTGAGGCTTTTGCTGATCGTATATCATGTCACTAGCTCTAAAAGTGAATGAAAAAACAGTGGGATCGCTATTTTCTAAAGGTGGAAAGAAAATTAGGTTGGCAATACCCCCAGTCGCATGAGTGATTAACAAGTCTGACGGAGAAGAACCTTGGTCTGCACGAAAACGTGTGAGTTCGGATACATGCTGTACTAGTGCATGCCCTATTAATGCTATCAGAAACCTACTATCAAAGGACTTTATAGATCTCTCCGCAGTCGTATTTGTCCAACCAATATCAGGTGCATTAAAGTCTCCTATTATCAAGCATCTGTTATTCGCACTCCATAGCTGAGTTTGCTCTAAAATAAAGTAATCATCTAAGCAGATTGGGCTGCAATAGATATCATCGAGTATAAATGTACAAACATCCGATAGTGAGCTCATATCTAATGACTTCACAAGTCCCACTATCACAGGATTAGCAAACAAAGTAGTGGTTATTTATATTGTTGGCTATGTATAAAAGGACACCATCTCCTTTCTAACATGTATATCTATCACTTCTTAGGTAGTGATATCCAGGTAATTCTGGAGTAATGTCGAAGCCATGGATTAACCAAGTTTCTATCACATCTACAACGAGTGAACCTAATTTGTCCACCAATGCTTCTAGTTCATAGAATTTATTTCTTAGACCACCAGCGTTGGGATATAAAACTCCTGGAGAGAACGACCTATCTACACAGGCCTTGATAGCATTCACTTTCAAGACCTGAATATTTAAAAACCCACTAATCGGAGATTTTCCTCACCGTTTTGTCGATGGGTTCGTAATTAATTTGCTGAGGGATTTGTTCGGTGTCCGTTGGGTTGCATGGACATTAAGTGTTCTCATATTCA